GTGTCTGTGTATCAGTGTGTGTGTCTGTGTTATATGTGTCTGTGTATCAGTGTGTGTGTCTGTGTGTATATGTGTCTGTGTATCAGTGTGTGTGTGTCTGTGTATCTATGCATGTGTGTGTGTGTCTGTGTGTATATGTGTCTGTGTATCTATGCATGCGTGTGTGTCTGTGTGTATATGTGTCTGTGTACCAGTGTGTGTGTGTCTGTGTATCTGTCCCCTCTGAGGGCAGCAGGCTCCCGCTGCAGTGTGCCATTGCTCACTGTGCGGAGCGGATGGAGGAGGGCTGGAGTGAGGGGCAGGGGCACCTGTAGCTGGAGACCTCAGGGGCTACAAATCCCACTGGTCTCAAGGCCGAGTGAGCACCTCTGAGCTTAGAAACATCCACGGAGACGCCGTCACTGACGCTGCCGTCTCTAGCCTGGGGTCTGCTGGGGCTGGGGTGCCGTGCCAAGAGCCACTGGCAGGTGGGGTGTGCGTGGGAGGGGCATGAGGGACACAGCTGTCTTTCCTGGAAGGCTGTGCCAGGTCCTCAGGGAATTCCAAGCGGGCCACAGCCTATCCCCACCCCCGAGCCTCAGATCCCCCATCTGCGAGACCAGATCTGAGGTATGAGTGGGGTGCGCTTGGATGACAAGAAGCATTTCCAGCTGTAGTGGGGCACAGAGGAGGGGGCACCAGGACACCCCTCCCCCCATGTTCTCTGCCCTCAGGAGCACGGCCTTATCTCTGAGAATCTGGGAGCACATGGGGACCCTCGGCATTCTGGGCTGTGCAGCGATAGGTTGGGTTGGGGACCAGGGGTACGGGCGTTTTGTGGCATGAGGGATGGCCCCTCACCTGAGCATGTCTGCAGGCCCGCATGGTCCAGGCAGCTCTGGCCAGAGCCAGGCCTGCTGTCCCCTCATTGGCCGGAGCTCTGAGGATGTCCGGTGGGTCCCCACACCCTGCTGTGCTGTTCACTGCTGTGTGGACACTGCTTCGCACCTGTGACAGGTGTGCATTTGAAATGTGGCAGGTGGCCCAGATGCTGCTGGCTTGACCGTATTTAATTAGTTCACACTGGAGCTTACAGAGACACGTTGGGGCTCGGGAGAACCACACTGGCCCCGGCTAGGCCCTGAAGTGGGGGATCCCCAGTCCCCCTCAACATCAATCCCACGTGAGCACACCTCAGCTACTGGGTGTGCCACCCTGGAGGCCGGAGCCCTGTCCTCCTGGGCTGATGGAGGAGTGGACGGGAGCACTTGCCAAGAACCACACAGCAGAGGAGGGATGAGAACAGATTCTGGGCTCATGGGGTACGGGAGCTGCAGCAGCCGGAGGGCCTGGCCAAAGTGGCCACCCTCAGTCTGACCGGCTTCCCCACAGCTGCCCTCAGGGGCAAGGGGCTGGGCAGTGGACACTCAGACACGGGGTCTCCTCGGCTCAGGCAGGGCTAAGCCATCGGGGTCCCGTGTGCTCTCTGGGTCCGTGGGCACAGGAATAGCCCTCGTGCAAGGTTTGGGGTGCAGAGAGGAGAGGGGAGCCCAGTGTCCAGAGAGCTTGGGCCGCTCATAGTACAGTCGCAGCATGACTGACCAGCAGGGTGAGGGTCTTGGCGGGGGGGATGGAGCCCCAAAGACACGCACGGGTGGGGGCGCAGGAGCAGCCAGGCCCCCCATTTGGGCCTGGCAGAAAAGCACAGGGCTGCTGCTGTGGGGGCACCTGGATATCCACCCCCAAGTCATGTGGGCACCCCCCTGCCCCTCCTCTCAGGCAACAGCCTCTCCCTGGGGGCCAGACTGGGGTGGGGGGCAGCCTGCTTCTGGGGGTACGTCTCCTCAAACCCACTACTCTATGTACTAGCCAGACCCTTGGCAGGGTCAGAGGGGGGACTCTCAGCGGCTAGGGGAGCTAAGGTCCCGAGAGGCTGGGCTGGCCCCGCCGGCCACCCCAGGCTGTAAAGATGCTGGCCGGCCGGCCTCTCCTGCCCACCGGTGCCTGTCTCTTCCTGGCCACTCTCTCCAGCAGTCATCCGAGTGGAGCTCTGTCCGGGCCAGACTTGTGGCTGCTGCGGGGGTGGGGTGGGGGCTGTCCGAGAACCACCGTCCGCCTCTCGGCCATCTCACAGAGAGAAATCAAGGGTGGGCAGCACATGGCCTGCCTGAGTGCCTCCTCCCGCTCCCGGGTGGCAGAACCAGCCCCGGTTCAGGAACCCCTCATCACCTGGGGGACTGGGGGGCGAGCGGTCTGTCCCATCTGGGAGGTGTTTGCTGCCGAGTCTCCCTTTAGGTGGGTGATAATGTCTGTTTACTGCGCCAGGGAGCAATTTCCCCCCACGGCTCTAATGAGCTCAATGCCTGTCCTGCCTCTGAGACAGACACCCCCGCGGGAAAGAGGCTGAGCTGCCGGAGACCGCCAAGCAGAACTCCCACCCGGCATGCACGGCAGAGCACCTTGCCTGCCGGGGGACACGCTGGGGTGGGCGGAGGTTGGGGGGATGCTGGCAACCCCATGAGGGCCTAGTGTGGAGCCAGCTCTTGGGACAGTGGGGGGCTTAATCGGAAGCTTCCTTAGCACAGGGGTCAGAGGGCAGGTCAGCCACCACTGGGGTCCCCGAGCCCTGGGGGAGAGCTGGGGTGGGCCAGGTCTCAGAGGTCCTGGGCACGCAGTTGTTCCAAGGGGTCTTCACAGAGAGGGGCGGTCAGGGGGACAGGACAGGGACAGCAGGAGGGATGGGGGAGGGAGGGCCCCCATCAGCCTCTGCCCCTAGTCACGTTGACCACGGTGGGGCCGCTGGGGCGCTGGGCCCGGCTGGCGGGGCAGTGCCGGGCGGGCCCCCTCAGAGTGGAGGTGATCTTGGGCAGCGGCTGTAGGTTCCACTCACCCTGCAGGGGAGGGACGGGGGTGAACTGAGGCTGGGGGCACACGCTGCTCTCCTCCTGGGCTCTGTCACCCAGCTCAGGCACCTGGGCATCCTCCTGGTCCCCCATCTTTTGCTCAGATGGGGTGCCCTGGGCACAGACTGGCTTCAGTCATCCACCCTGAGAAGGCTGCCCAGGCCCCAGCCCGCCAGACACCCACCCTGCCTGCTCACAGGCCACCGGCAATCGCCTGGCCCCGAGCATTGGAAATGTTGGATTCAGCTGTTAACCGGCTCCCGAGGAGGCCCCAGGCCCTGGGCTGCAGGTCCTACGGTGGCCCAGCTGAAATGAATTCACCATTTCCACATCCTGGGCCTCCAGCAAGCCAGCTGCATCTTGGGGGTTCAGGTCTCTCCCAACCCCCACGGTTTATTTTTAGTCTCTGGGGGTGGCTGCTTGGCTCACATCGCAGACAGGGGGAGCTGAGAGCAGCCCTGAGCTGTGTGGTGCCCGACAGTGTCCTGGCAGCCTCAGCCCCTCCAGAGGAGGCCTGCTGTCTGGCTGCCCCCTGTCCTCTGACTGTCCCCGCCTGACCATTGGGCTGTCCTTTGGCTGTCCCCGCCTGACCCGCTGCCCTAACTGTTTCCTCTGAGTGGTTTCTTGCCAGCTTCCTGGATGTTGGGGGTGGGGGACTCTGCCCCCCAACGTCCTCTGGCCTGTGGATCTCTGTGTACATGGGCAGGCAGCCTCAGGAAGGGTCAAGGATGTCCCTGCGGGGGACACTGCCCTCCAGCAGATGGGCCTGCGAGGGCTTGCCTCCACTGTGCCGTCTCACCACACCAGGTGAGCACACCAAGGGGAGGGCACACTTGAGGGCAAGCACACTTGAGCAGCACACCCAGGGCAGCCTACCTGGAAGCGGACAGCTGAGGACTTGTTGCAGTGCATGGAGATGGGGGCAAAGCCGTACAGGGCCTTGAGCACGTCCCGGTTGAAGGCATTCCAGGGCACGGAGGCGAACTGCTGGGGGATGGAGGTTTGCGGGCAGGTGCAGATGTTCATGCTGTCAAAGCTGCGGGGGGAAAGGACAGCCCTGTCAGGTGCAGCCGGTGGGAGGGGCCCAGAAGACACGGCTGTCTCCCCGATGAGGAGGGGAGAGAGGCGGGACTCTACTACCAGCACACATCAGGTTCCGGTGACTTGGAGGACACGCCCCCCCCCCACAGCACCCCATGTTAAGTCGTGGCCCGTGTCTTCTCCGACTCCCCTCCCCTTATAAGGACACTGTATTGCACAGTAGGCACCTGTCTGATCCACTTAAACTGGTCGTAGGAGCAGGCTGGACACTGTGGCCAACCCATAATGAGTCATGTCAACCTACCCAGAAGCCTTGACCTCGGTCTGTGGTGCACCCCAGCCAGCAGTCAGGGCATGCTGCCAAAGCCCGCTGACCCTCACATTCCCCCTGCACAGGCCCCGAGGGCCCTCCAGGTACAAAGGCCCCAGCTGGGCCTCCGAGAGAGTCACCTGTTCACCAGGTGGAAGTACTTCTGCAGGAAGCCGGCGTCCATGGTGCTCTTGCACAGCTCCAGCTGGGTCTGGGGATAGTAGTGCACGTAGTTGACGCACATCTCCTCCTCGATCCCGAAGCCGCCCTGCGAGATGGGGACACGGTCACGCCGGCACGCGGGCTTGCTGGCCAGCCCTGCCCGCCTGCATCTGCATCCTCTCAGTCATGCCCCCGGTGCCCAGGGACCTCAGTATCCGCTGAGCCAGCCTGCTCCCGTGCACTCAGGCCCTCAGTGGCTAGCTGTGATGATGCCCATTCTATGGCCACAAACAGAGACCCAGAGAGGGCAAGGGCCCAGCCGTAAGGCCCTGGAGCTCAGTGGCCAAGCCTGGCTCCGCAGACAGGACAGCCCACAGATGGGACAGCCCACAGACAGGACAGTCCACAGACGGGAAAGCCCACAGATGGGACAGTCCACAGACGGGACAGCCCACAGACAGGACAGTTCACAGACAGGACAGCCCACAGATGGGACAGCCCACAGATGGGACAGTCCACAGACGGGACAGCCCACAGACAGGACAGCCAACAACAAAGCCCGCCAGGGCCCGGGCTCGCTGTCCCATCACTGCGGCAGTGCTGTGGCCCCTCAGGTGTGCCAGGACACCAAGTAAAGCTTTGAGGTCCCTACTTATGAGGCCCCACCGCCCACCCGCGGAGGAGCTCCAGACCAGGGAGGGCTGGCTGTCGGCTGTCAGCAGCGCTCTCTGATGCTGTGTACAGGGACTGCCTGCACACTGGGCCTTGGGAGGAGGGGGTGGGGAGAGAGGGGGGTGGGAGTGATGAGAAAGAGTCTCTGTGTGTGTGGGGTGGGGGGCCGGGAGGAGGGCAGGGCTGGGGGCCCAGCCCTTTGAAGATGTCCCTGGGGGCCTGTGGGAACCTGTGTACCCTCTGCTTTCTGGCAGAACAGAAGAATGAGACACCCCCCCTCCCCTGCTGGGCAGTGAGCCCTTCAAAGGAGGCCGCCTGTGACCAGCCGGCTGGCCTGGCCAGTGACACTCGGTGACTGGTGAGTGGCCTTGTTCCGGATCAAGCCGCCTCCTCTCGGAGGTCCCTGGGGGACATTGGCCTTTCTTGTCTCCAGGCCAGAATTCCTGCTCAGACATCAAAGGGGGCTCATCTCCAACCCCCTGCTGGCTCTCTCTTTCCCTCTCCCAGGCATTTCAAAGGCCTCCAGGACTGGCATGCCTGGTGGTCAGCGTGGGAAGCCTCTCAGAGGAGCAGCTGTCTGCAGTGGTCTGGCTGCCTCCTGGGTCTCAGGGACAGGGTCCCTGCCACCCACCGAGGGGAGGAGTCCCAAAGGCTGGGTAGGGCCTGAGGCTCAGTGGCCGCTCCAGACCAGGCACCCCCAGGCAGCCTAGGGGTGAGTCAGCTACCCAGGACATGTCTGCTCGCTGGATACCTGTTCCTGGAGACCTCCAGGTCTGTGCCCTGCCCAGCCCACTGCCGGCCCCTGTTGGAGAGGCGGTGTCACGTGGGGCAGTGCCTGCACAGGAGCTGTGGGCCCTCGCTGTCTCCCGTGGCAGCACCTTGCCCTGGTGGTTCCCTGGTGCTTGGCCCAGCTCCAGCAACTCTCAGACTGCCTCAGACCCCAGGCCAGGACGCCGAGGCCTGGGGAAGCCAGGTGGCTGGGCGGTACCGCAGTGCTCCTGACCCTGCAGATCCCAGAGTAGGGGTCAGGCAGAACTTGAACCCACAAGTCCCTGCTGGAGCAGCTGGGCCAAGGGGTCAGCCCCAGTGAGGGACAGCCCCAGTCCTCTAAAAGCCACACACCACTCGAGAAAGGAGGGCAAGGTGTCACTAAAGGGTGGAGAGTGTGAACCCCACCCCCCGCGTCCCCGCTCACCCCCACACCTGTGTCCTGGGTGCGCCAGCAGGTGACTTACCACAGTGGCCAGCTGCCTGTCCTCCGTGTTATATGTGCAGGAAGTGATGAGGACGTCTCCCTGGAGACCAACCACAATGCCATCAGCACCTGCCCCCCTGTGCTGCCAGGGGGAGGATGGCGGGTGCTGCTTGGCCTCCAGGAACCTCCTGGTGGTCCTGACCCCATGGCGGCCCCAGCCTCGTGTCCCCAATGAGCAGGAAGCCGTGGACAATTAGGACCTGTTCAGCTTGAGACCTTAGGCAAGTCTCCCCTAGACCTGAGGTTCGTGTGGAAGTTGGGGTCACCGGGCTTCTCCCTCATGCCCCATCCCCCCAAAGCTCTCAGGTGTGAGTGTGGACGTGGCAGACTGGGATGGACGTCACTGAGTGTCCCAGCTACATTCTCCCACCCCCTGCAGAGGCTTTCTCATGGAGTCCCACGTGAGTCCCCGCAGGGTGACCGTGGAGTCAGCCCTGCAGAGACACAGCTCCTCTGCAGCCCCCTCTGCCCACTCCCCATGGGCCCCCACCCCCACCCCTGACTCCCACAGGGAGGACCCATACCTGGTGAACGGTCACCACCTTCTTCAGCATGCGGATCTCCTGGGGGCCGGAAGGAGAGGAGGTCACAGAGGGCAGCACCCAGCTCCCCACCACTCGACCTCCCTGATGTCAGCCCCCCACCCTCCTGGGGCTTGTCCCGGCCCCTCTGGTGGGGGCTGGGGTGGTCTGGGTGGCCTCAGCCGGGCAAGACTGGAGCCAGAAACAGGAATGGAGAGCCATGGTCCCCACGCCCTCCATCCTGCCACCGTGGCCCCTCAGACAGATGACTGGGGGCAGGCCATGCCACATGGTCCCCCAACCTCAATCCCTCTGGCCAAGCCCCCCAGATGGACTGCCAGCTGAGGGTGGATCATGTGGTCCCCTCACCTGGGGCGTTCCCGCAGCCTACCTGGAAGTGGGGGCTGTAGTGCGTGTCCCTGTTCACCACCTCCCTCTCCTGGCCATCCCGGGCCAGCACCGTCACCACCTGGCGGCCGGTCAGGTGTGTGTGCAGCTGTGAGGCGAAGATGTGGATTCCGGAGGGCGGCAGCGCCTGTGGCAGGAGGGCCGGCACGTGACAGTGTCAGCTCACCAACGGGCTGCCTAGCTGCGAAGTCGCCGGTTCAAACCCCCCACCCGCCCCATGGGGCCCAAACCAGGCTCTCTGCCTCTGCAGAGATGCGCTGTCTCAGAAACCAGAGCACTACTGGGTCCTACGGGGCAGCTTGCGTTGAACTCGAGTCCACGGCACTGACTTCGGTCTTGGTGCCAGGAGAGCCACGTCGGGTTGCTCACCACAAGCCCAGCAGTTCAAAACCACCAGCTGCTCCTCGGGAGAAAGACGAGGCTCCATGGTTGGTTACTGTCTATGGTTCTACCCTGCCCTGTAGGGTCCCTGCGAGTCAGCATTGGCTCGATGGCAGTGAGTTTGGTTTTCTTGGCAAAATGGAGGGCAGCCAACCGGAGGAAGACCATTGAGAGACGGTGGACACAGAGGCCACAACCACGGGCACGCATGGGAACCATCCCGAGGATGGCGCAGGGCCAGGTGGTGTTTTGTTCTGTGATGCTCCGGATCACTGTGGGTTGGAGATGGCTGGTGGCCGGTCTTGGCTTGGGGCAGGACGGGGCAGGGTGCACTCTGCTGTGTCGGTGGCCCCGTGGGTGGGAACTGACCCTGAGACTGGGGTGCACCTTTGACAGCAGACATGAAATCACACCCCTCCTTGAGAATCCCCTTGTGAGAAGCCGGTGGGAAGACAGATGACCATCCCGAGGACGGACAGGTGCCTGCAGCCCGGGGCCAAGAGCTGTGGTGACAGGGATGCTGGGTCCTCCAGCTGGGTGGACAGCAGGCGAATGGAATCAAACACCTGGAATCTCCCCCTCCCGGCCATCAGGCAGGTATCTAACTGGCACCTTGGGCTGTGGGGGTGCGGGTGGGGAAGCTCGGCACGCTCCTGTGCCCTGCCGTGTGGGGATGAGGAGGGTTGGCATGGAGGGTTGGGTACGTCTTGCCGGATATCCTGGCATTAAAACCTGGGGCTTCTGTGTGAGCACTGTCCTTCCCACGACAGAAGTAGCTGCCCGTGTGCCTGCGGAGGCAGCTGACCAAGGACAGCTGACAGCAGGGCTGTCACTGAAGAGCCTGGGTCACTGTGGGGCAGCCGCCAGGCAGGCAGGAAGGATGGGCAATGCTGCTTGAGTCCTTGGCCCACCAGTCACACACAGGCAACTGTGCATCTCCACGGGGCGTCCTCGGGGTCAGGGACAAGCTGGGAGAAGCCTGGGGAGCCACAGAGTGTCCAGGGGACTGGGGCGGAGCAGGCAGAGGTGCTGTGTTGGGGTGGGGAGTTGCGGGGGTTTGGGG